TCTCTGATTGTGTTGTAAAATCTGCACGTTATCCCGACTCCTGGTTTTGTCTTAGTTCTGTCATCGGGGTCACGGTGCTCCTGTCATCGTGCGACCACCCCCCCCCAGCACGCTGGACGTCCTGCACTTCCACACGGGCAGAAGACCCCCCACCCGTCGTGAGCGCGCTGTCGTCCAGCCAGGCCGCGTTCACGCAGCTCGGGGAGGGCGCGGTCCGCCGGCGCACACCGCGGCTCCCGGGATCAACGCTCCATCTTCAAGTGTTCCCTGCAAAATTGGACTTAGTCCTCACACCTAGAGCTAATTATCATTCAAAATGAAAACCATTATGGAGCCTGTAATTGAAATCTCAAATGAAGCAGGAGCAGAACCCTTTCTTAGGAAAACGCACTTTTCAGATGTTCGGGGTCGCTTCGGTTTCTCCTCTCTCTGCTACCTCCCGCGTCTCTTCCGTTCCGTTCTTTCTGCGGGTCCCCGGCTGTGCTGTCTGGCGTTTCTCGAGCACGTTGCTGTGAGGCTGGGGCGTCACCCCATTTCTGATGGACTTTCTTCTTTGAGACGGGGTCCTGTTCTGTTGCCGGGCTGCGGGGCCGTGGCGGCGTCACAGCTCACAGCAACCTCACGCCGCTGGGCTCAAGCCCACCTCGGTCCCCCCGGAGCTGGGACTATAGGTGTGCGCCACCACGCCCGGCTGCATTGTCTGTGTGTAGCAGAGACGGGGTCTCGCTCTGGCTCGGGCTGGTCTCAAACTCCTGACCTCCAGGGATCCTCCCGCCTTGGCCTCCCAGAATGCTAGGGTGACAGGCGTGCACCACTGCCCAGCCTAGGTGACTTTGTTTTCCATGACTTTAAATCATATCCTAAGGGATCAAGGTGTGGAAAAATTTAGCCGGGTATCTCCTGTTCTCCTCCATGAAATTCTGTCCCCAGAAGAACATTTCGAGGCTTTTGAGGAACAGAACTGGCGTCCTGGGCGGGGTGACTGGCAGAGCTGACCGGCCCCTGGGGACCAGGATGGCCTCAGACGGAGCCTGCAGCCCCCTTTGGAGCTTCCGTGAGTTTCCTGTGACTGCTGTGACAAATGACCCCGAACTGCCTGGCTCAAAACAACGGAAACTCATTCCCACTGGTTTGGAGGCCAGAAGCCAAGGTGTGGGCAGGGCTGTGCTCCCCCAAGGCTCTGGGGGTCCTTCCCAGACGCCTCTTCACTCTGCGGCTCCGGTGGCGCATGGCTCATGGATGCACCCCCAGTCTCTGCATTGCGTCTCCCCGCATGTGTCTGTCTCTACATCCAGATTTCCCCCTTCTCATAAGGATATTGGTCATGGGGTTAGGGCACCTAATCCAGAGTAACCTCATCTTAACTTGATTGCATTTGCAAGAACCTATTTCCATTTTTTTTTTTTCAGGAGTTTGAAACCAGCCTGAGCAAGAGCAAGATCCCATCTCCACTAAAAAAAAAAAAAAAGGAAGAAAATTTAGCTGGACAACCAAAAGAACACAGAAAAAATTAGCCAGGCACGGTGGTGCACGCCTATAGCCCCAGCCACTCAGGAGGCTGAGGCAGCCTATTTCCATATAAAGTCCCGTTCACAGGTACCAAGAGTTAGGGAGGACTTCGACATCCATCTTGGGAATGCAGTTCGGCCCACCTCAGGGCTCGGGTGCTTCCTGGCAACCTGCTTGCCAGGTATCTGCAGGGACCAGCCTGGAGGAGCTCGCAGGGCCAGCAGCTCGAGCTCAGAGGCCAGAGTACCCGGGTTCGAATCCCAGCTTCACTCCCTGTAGCCCCGGGGCGGGTTCCTCGGCCTCCAGGGCGCATGGGGCTGACCAGCCTCGCGTGGGGACCGTCCCGTGCTCTGTGAGGTGTGCAGCAGCTCCCCTGGCCTCTTCCCAGGAGAACGCCACCCCCAGGTCCCCCAGGTGTGACAACCAAAAATGTCTTCTGGCATCATCAGTGTTCCCTGGGGGAGTGACCTCCAGCTGAGAACCACTGGGCCAGACGTGCTAAAGTTCTGGCACTATGTCAAACGAGGCCATGGGGCCACCGAGAACTAAACGAAAAAAACACAGGTAGGATCATGCGGAACAGTAACCAGCCCAAGTAGGCGCTTAGTAAACATTATCCACGAGTCCCTGGGGTCCTCAGGGACAGGGACGCGGAAACAGGTGAGTGGCACCATCATGAGGGCGGGGCCCCACGAGCACAATGATCGGTGATGAAAAGGCAGCCGGCAAGCTTAGAGGGCGGAAACCTACAGACCCGCCGAGGAGGTCAGGAAACCTTCTAGAACCTTCCCAGAGCAGGGGACAGCCGCCGAGGTGCAGTACAGGGAGGCACGTGATTGGCAGACGGACGGGGAGAGGACGCGTCTCAGACAGGGGACGACGGACGCCAAAGGGAGAGCGTGACCCCGTCCTGAAGGGATGTTCCCAAAACCAAAACCACGACGTTTGCAGAAGCGAAGACTGAGGGCGGAGGACGGGAGAGCAACGCGGTTGTCCAGGAACACCTGCGGAGCTGAGAAACGGGGAGGGCGTGGGCACGTCTCAAACGCCAGCGCCTTCCGTCTTTCCGTCCCTGTCCCTTTCAGAGAGGGAGGGTGGCAGACCCCGACCACAGCCCTGAGACGCTGAGTGGGTGGCAGCCCTGGGCTCCCCGCAAAGACCAGGGGTACCCACGTGACCCCGGGGTGGTGACTTCTCTAAGGCCACGGTGGATTCCAGACGCGGGAGCCCGCCGAGTGCGCTGAGCTCTTCCTGCAGTTAATTGCCACCTTCCTCCACCAGCCCGCGCCACGCCGGCCCGAGACACAGGAAGCCAGGGGCTCCCGGCAGCCTCCTGGGCCGGTTCCAGCCTCGCCACCGGAGCTCGGCTTACCTGGCAGCGGGTAATAAAACCCCCCTGACGACAGCACAGCTTTCACCGCGCGTAAATGAGCTCAATTACCTCCGCGCAGAGAAAGGAGAGCTTCAAAGCGAGAAGAGGAAGACAGAGAGGAAGAGGGACCCAGTAAAAATAATCGGTCTTAATCAGTCTCATCTCCGAGGGAAACGCATACGGCGATTTTAGTGCCCAAGAGATTCCCATTAGCCTCGTGCCAGCCCTGACGAGTCAGCGGGTCTCACGGGCAACGACAGGCGTGGCCCTTGCCCAGCCGTTATGTTTCTAGAAATGACTCTGCTGATCAGACGGACACGTGAGGGCTTTAGGAATGGGTCCCCCGCCCCCAGAATCCGCCGGCCACGGACCCCGGCCAGGCCCAGAGCTGACCGCAGCCTGCATTTCTCCAACCGCCCTGCCTCGAGCGGCCCGGAGGCCGAGGCCTGTTCGGCTCCCACCGTGTTAGATGCCACCCGAGGGCCAGGGACCAGTGACAGGGTCAACTGCTCGGGTTAACTGCGGTCACACGCCCGAGCGGGCAGGGGTGAGATCTGGCTGTGGGCACCAGCCCAGCATACAGCAGGTGCTCAATACATGTTTGTGAGTGGACAAAGATGGTGCACTTGCTGGTTCCCTGGAGCACACCAGGCTGCTTCCCAGGCCACGGCTTCTCCACTGGAAGCCAAAGAGCAGCCAGGGCAGCCCCTCGGGGGGTGGGGGCTGCCAGCTCACCCCTGGATGCCTCCCGGGTGGGAGGGGCGCTGACTGTACTGCAGCCGGCACTTCCTGAGAGGCGGCACTGCCAGCTCAGTGCCGGGACAATGGGACCCCAATAAGTGACCAGGGACCCGGACACCATTGGAACTCAGAGCAGGAGGGGAGCAGGGCCAGGTGTCCTCCCAGCTATTGGGCCGGGTCTCCTGCACCTCTGCCTGCCCTCTTCGCACGCCGCCAAGCCCCGGAACAGCCAGGAACTGCCACTGAGCGAGACCGTGGGTAAGACGACTTTGGAACCAGATGGGACTAACAGATCATAAGCAACCTGGGGTGCAGACACCTTGAGCCCAGGAGCCCTCCTTCCCTGCAGGCTGCCCACACCCCCGTTGGCTTTTCCTCTTCTTCTGATGCAGGGCACCTTGGACGGCCATCCTTCCTCTCTCTTTGTGAGCCCCTGAGCCCTTCCTGCTGGGTAAATGCCCGCTAATACCGCAAACCCTTGTCATGAGCCCGATAAACTCGTGCTGTGTGCTGCACAAACCCCCCCGAGTCGCCAACGATTTCCCAGGTGTGCTGCCCATTAAACACACTAGGACGCGGCTGATGGAAGGAGCTCAGCGTTACCTCCAGTGTGGACCTAATCCCCCCTTAATCCCCAGAAAGCTTTCCAGAAAAGACAGACTATTCACCATCGGGCCCATCCGTACACTTGCTTTTCAAATGGGCCGTCGTTTTACGCGACAGGCGATCAAAGACCTTAAGATTTTCGGCCAGGATGGGGAGACCGTGTGTGTCTGCACCGCTCCCAAGCTGGCTCTTCTTGTATTTTTAAAAACAAACGTTGGCTGCGTTTGGCGCAATTTATCTCCGAGATTAGTCCGGATGTCTCGAGGCGAAGCGTATCTTCAGGCCAGGGGAGGTGAGTCACTTTCTACGCTGCCAACGAGGCGTGACAGAACGGACAGCATCTTTCAAGAGCCACACGACCACGAACGGCTCACGACCTCCACCCTGGTGCCGTTAACTGGTGCATTACAGGCACCAGCTAAGCCCGGGATCCGGAATATCCAGCGCTCTAAAGCCACTTAAAAGCGGCACACGTCATTTCGTGCATTTAGGTTTTTATTCCAGTGGCTCTCACCCTACAACCCGCCCTGACATTCTCAGGCAGAGGGGAGCGAGGCCGGGCAGGCGATAAATCTCACGCCCGCTGGGCGAGGAAATGCCACTCCTGCAACGATCATCTCGGGGTTCCCAGAGCAGCGCCTGGGGGCCTGGCGCCCGGCCTCGGACCCTTCCCCCAGGAGGGACGTGGACAGAGGAAACCTCCCGCAGCCCAGGGGTGTTCGTGCAAAGCCAAGCTGGGCCCCGGCCCCCGACCCCCGACCCCGGGACCTACCGGTGAAGTCCTCGAAGCACTCGCAGGTGTAGCCGCCCTCGCGGCTGCGGCAGCGGCCGTGGGCGCCGCAGGGGCTGGAGTAGCAGAGGTCGATCTCCGTCTCGCAGTAGTCGCCGGTGAAGCCGGGCGGGCAGCGGCAGCGCAGGCCGTTGACGGGGTGGATGGGCCGGAAGAGCACGGTGGTGGAGCTGAGGAAGGGCGCGGAGCTGTCGAAGCGCAGCACGGACACGCACTTCATGTAGTTCTCGCAGGGCTCGCGCAGGCAGATGTTGTCGTCGAAGGGCAGCACGCGCTGGGTGGAGATGGCGGTCAGCAGCGAGCGGTTCAGGTAGATCTGCTCCTGCAGGGCCTCGGACGGGAAGAACCGGCCCCGCGCGCCGCCCGGCAGCAGCGCCGAGAACGTCACGTTCAGGATGTTGGCGCGCACGTCCGTGTCGTTCTGGACGTTGAAGACGAAGACGTCGTCCCTGGCGGTGGACAGCACCGTGGCCACCCCCTCCACGAAGAGGCCCAGCAGCGGGGACAGGAACTGCTCCTGGGACATGTTCTCCAGGCGGACCGTGATGCTGTTGGTCAGCATGTCGTCCGTGATGATGGTGACGCGCAGCGTGCAGAGCGCCGTCACGCTGTGGACACCGTCTGGGGGACGACAGGGGACAGTGGCGGTCACACGCGTGTTGTGGGAGTCTCGGCCCCTCCCAGCCCCACCCAGGGAGCAGCTTCGACCCACTGAGCAAGGGAGAGGCCAGCCTGGGGGCCCTCCCACTCACCCCACCCAGACCACCGGACCCCCTACTTCCTTCCCTGTCCCCCTGCTGATGCCCACCCCCGGCCTCCTGGTGCACATCTCAACCGAGTCTCTCTCTGGCTCGGAAGCCCTCAGCGGGCCCCAAACCGCTCAGCAGGGCACCCCGGCAACCACCAGGATTCCGCCCCTCACTGCAGGACTCCTGTGCCTTGCTCTAGACACATGGAGACTCGGGCCCCTGTTTTACCTCCCCTGCACCTGCCCCAGGGAGCCCCACCCCACCCCAGCCTCCCCTCCACCCCCCCATCTCCCCCAGTCCTCCCAGCCCAGCTCAGACCCCTTGGCATCTGGCAAGCCCGCTCTGGTCCTGCCAGGGGGTCGACGGCCCCACCCGGATCTCTCGGCCGCACCCGGCACCCAGCAGGTGCTCGGTGACGCCACATCCCAGACAGCAGTGAACAGAGCACGGAACGAGCTGCTTAGGGAGCAAGAGGGCATCACGTGACTTGTCCAAACACCAAGGAAACGGAACCGGTCAGGAAGTCACAGCTGCGTTCAGGTGCTTGGTCGATTATCTCGGCAAACCTGAGATTCCAGGGGATTCGTCCCCGTTCAGCAGGTGAGAACACCTGAGACCCCAACAGCAAGTGAGGCTGGCGGGAGCCCCCCCTGCGTCCCGATACCGCCACCCGGGCCGGGCGCGGAGCCCGAGGTCGCTGCTCCGCTCAGTGCTCGCGGCGGCCTGGCGAGCCGGGATCGGAAAATGGAAATGTCTGTGCAGCCCTGGCATGCGGCGGGCCGCTCCAGCTCTGGACAAAACCCACAGGCCCTGAGGACTCGCGGTTCTGCCCACGACTTCCGCAGGGCGCAGACAGAGCGCGAGGGGCAGCGCGGCAGCACCCGTGGCTCACAGAACAACGGGCTGGCGGCCCTGATACAGATCGGGGAAAGACAAAAATAAAATAAAAAAAAAACAAAAACCTTTGTGGGAGCCGGCCTCAGAGATGGCCCTGCGTGTTCCTTCCCACACACAGGCCCCTGTCCCCAAGGGCTCCATCCCAGTCCCTGAGCAGGGGCTGGGCCTGACACTGTCGTATAGATGCTCAGAACAGATGCCGGGACTTCCCGGCCCCAAAAGGACTGGAAGGTTCTACCTCCTCCTTCCTAGTGCCCAGGCACCACACCAGAGGCCCCGGCGTGGAGGAGAAGGCAGCGTCCCGGCTGAGGCCCCAGACACGGGCCCCCACCTGCTGAGGCTGGAGCCCCCCCCACCGAGGGCACAGATGTCACAGGGCAGTGACCAGCACCCCCGGGCCTCGCCGAGAGCAAATGACAGGGCGGGAAGGTGGGAGGCGGGAGTGTGTGCTCCACAGCGCAGGACAACCAGAACACGAGGCATCGGTCACACATAAACTTGTAACACAGAAAATGGTAATATATTGCCCAGCACAGAAAATGGTAATATGTTGGGAGGAACTGAACTGTGTCCCTTCAACATTCCTACGTGAAAGCCTTAACCCCAGTGCGATGGTATTTAGAGGCAGGGCCCCTGGGGGTGATTAGGGTTAGACGAGGTCACGAGGATGGCCCCCCAATGGGATTGGTCCCCAGCCTAACACAATTCAGTTGGGTAAGCTCACATGATAAACATGCTAAATAACGTGGAAAATTAGTTAACATGTCTGCATTCTGCAATATTCACAAATAACTTTTATGTGCTATACTCCCCGTTTATATAGTCCTTTGCCAAAAATAAATTTGAAATATTCAGTGACCCTAAGCTTAAGCAGTAATCTTTCTGGAAGCCTAAATAAACACACACGTGCGCACACACACACACCCGAGGAAGTAGAAACCCACCAATGGGAAATAAACGACCGCAGCAGAGCCACGCAATGGGACACTACAGCTTCACTAAAACAAATGTGTCTAAAACACAGCAAATAAACTGAACGTAACATGCACAGTGTGATCCCCTTTTGTAAGGGGGACGCTTTACTCATGCCCATACGTGCTGCATATGTACAGGAAATCCTAGAAGCACACAGCAAACCCCACTGCAGCGGCTGATTCTGGGAAGGAGATAAAATAATGGGGGTGGCAGCGAGACCACCACCTTCTTACTGCTCACTTTGTGTCGCTCAGATTTCTTACAATGAGCAGGGACTAGTTTGGCTTCTAAAAAAACGTCATACTCTTCTGTAAGGAGAAAGAGGCAACCCCACTACGTCCGTGTTCACAGCGGCATTGTTCAAGAGAGCTAAAACGTGGAAGCAGCCCAGGTGCCCACTGACGGGGAAAAGGCCTTGGCAGAGGCCCTGGGGTGAGTGGAGCGGCATGTCCACACAGTAGAGTATCATCCTGCCTCAAAAAAGGAGGGGATTCTGACACCTGCTACAACACTCAGGACGGACCCTGAGAACATCACGCTCAGTGAATAAGACAGGCACGAAACAAACATCGCATGGTTCCAACTCACACGAGGTCTCTAGAGGGGTCAAATTCATAGGGACAGAAAGTAGGACGGTGGGTGCCAGGGGCCGGGGAGGAAGATGGGGAGTCAGTGATCGATGGGGACAGAGTTTCAGTCTGGGAAGAGGAGAAAGTTCTGGAGGTGGACGGTGGTGACAGCCTCATTGCAACGTGAAAGTGCTTATTAATGGGCATGAACTGCATCTTCAACAATGGTCAAGAAGGTATACGTTATGTGTATTTTTTTTTATGTTATGTGTATTTTATCACGATTAAAAATTTAGAAAAGAAAAAAGGTAGCATGCCTATGACCCAGAGGCAGCACTCAGCCATATGCCAGATGCCCCCAAGCTCAGTCTGCCTCAGTTTCCCCCCACCATCATCTCTACATGACAACCACAGTGGTCTTCCTACAACAGTGATCTCATCGCCCCACTCCCTTGTGGCCCCCGATGGCACCCAGAATAAAGCCCGCACCCTTACTGCGTCCCATGGCTTACATATCTGTCCCAGCCTTCCTGCAGTTCCTGTTGCTGCCCCAGGGCCTTTGCAGACCTCGTCTTCTGCCTGGAGCGGTGCCCTCCCTGTCAGCCAGTGGCAGCTCCCTTGGCCACCCAGGTCTCAGCTGAATGTCCCTAATCGCAGGGACCTTCCATGCTGAGCACCCCTCGCTCCTGCCCGCCTGCTTTAATTCTTGCCCGGGAGTCCTGGCCAAGCTCCGAAGGTATTCTTCTCTGTTTGTACCTGTCTCTCGGGGACCTGTTTGAGTCCCCGAGGACCCAGAACCTGTAGGTCTTGTTCTTGCTGCACCCATCACATCTAGAACACCTCCTGGCATCCGAAGCTGTTGGACAAACATTTGTAGAAGGGAGGGTAGGAGGGAGAGGGGAGGGAGGAATGAGGAGGGTGGGAAGAAGGAGGGGGAGGGAAGGGAGGGCAGGGAAAGAACGGAGGTTTCCAAGGGCAGCTCTGTAACTCCTACATCAACATTGGCACGAACAGTATATCAAGAGACTCCGTTTTTCCATGTGAGCTATTTTTTTTGTGGCTGTCTGAATTTTTTTTTTAAAGGCCGATTACAACAACACAGGTAGCACACTGGTTGTTTCCTGGTAGCAATTGTTACGAAACATGCTTTCATCTCAAACCACGCATGCATTTGTTTGCTCTGGCCCAAGATGCCGAGGCCATGTTGATTTTGTGCGAAGAGCCCAGGCGTCCGGGGGGTGCTCCGGGCTGTCCTGTCTGTGCCCCTGGGGTGGGGTGGGGGCTCCGGCACTGAGGCACAGCACAGAGAATCCGCTGGGGACAAGGAGCCACATTCTAGGGATGTACACCTTCACTCGGCGGCCAAGTGATGGCACGGCAACCAGAAGACAGCGTTCAATGCTAACTGCCGCTAAACGTGCGGGGGAAACGCAGCGCCTGGCACTACCAATAGTAACATTAACTTCTTAATAGCCACAGACCACCCCGGACACCCCAGGTCCTGGCAGACGGTGAATTTGCTTTCTGCTTACGTGGTGAGGGCTGGATTTCTGAGCCAATCTGCAACTTAGCAAGGCATCCAAGACACAATCTAAATGCCCACCTCTGAGGGACCCCCGAAATACAGTTCCACGATGGGACATTATGCACTTAAACCAAAACGGCAACAGCCCTATCACAGACTGAGAAAAGTAAAAAAGATAAAAAAATTAAAAAAACGGCAACAGAAGCCTCCGTTTGCCCCAGGGACAGCTCTGGACGCCATGCTGGGTGGAAAAACACGTAAATTACTCTTTCCCATGAGGCAAAAAAAATTGTCCTGAGTCCAGAGAGCTACCAGCACTATATTGACAGTGGTCCTGACTGCTATGTTGATTTTGTTTCTAAAGGACCCTCCTACTTTAGAACAGTTATAGACTGACAGACAAATTGCAAAAAGAGCACCGACAGTCCCACAGACCCCCCCAGGCCCCCGTTACCGACGCCTTCACCACGCGCTGCGTTTGCTGTAATGGAGGAACCAGCCCTGACCCTCTGACACCAAAGCCCACACTTCCTTCAGTTTTTACCCTCTGTCCTCCCGTCCCAGGACCCCGTCTGGGATCCCCCACGACACTCGGCTCCTCTGGGCTGTGGCAGTTTCTCAGGCGTCCCCCTGGCAGTCTGGAGGGGACTGCGGGGGTCTCATGTAGAACGTTACATCTGTGATATTTACACGATTTGTACTCCCTCAACAATTTCCTCTAGCCGGGCGCGGTGGCTCACGTCCGTAATCCTAGCACTCTGGGAGGCCGAGGCGGGTGGATTACTCCAGGTCAGGAGTTTGAAACCAGCCTGAGCAAGAGCGAGACCCCGTCTCTACTATAAATAGAAAGAAATTAATTGGCCAACTAATATATATATAGAAAAAATTAGCCGGGCATGGGTGGCG